GTGGCCGGCACGGCACGAGGGCCGTGCCGTGCCGTGGGCTGGCCTGTGAAAATGGCCGGCACGGCACGGCACGAAATCCTGGGCCCGCCGGCACGACCGGCACGGCACGAACCAGCCCGTGGCCCGCCAGGCACGGCCCGTGGCGGCCCGGCACGGCACGGCACGGTGCCCAGGATTATAATACCCACATGAGAAAAAATACGGAGAAAATTCCTACTCCGTACAAAGAATAAGGCAAGTTAAAAAAGGGGTAAATATTCATTTGTATTTTGTAACTTGAAGTTGGAAATTCATAATTCACTTTAAAGTACATGTTTAATACGAAGTAGAAAGTTCATAACTTAATAATACTTGTAATATGATGCATACTATATTACTAAGGTGCTATAAATTTTTTAATTTGCTAAGCTAGTCAAGCTGAATTAGGGAACCACTTTGAACTGGTCTCAAAACTTAAATAAAAATCCTCATCTAATTTTTTTTTAATAATCTTGTTGTTTGAATGTACTTGAAAGAAGAAGTAGATGAGGCATGAGGTACACCTGCATGTGATAACTAAGGAGATAAAAGGAAATACACACATTCGTATAGAAATAGTTTTGTTGCAATTACTTTAAGCTATGTTCAATTCACAAATTGTGATCACCGACAAAGTGTTGGTTCACTCGGTAAGTTTCTTAACTTAGATTCTAGAGATACTAAGTTAGTGCCTGTGCGATGCAAGGATTTAACAAAAAAAATTTGCGGAAATTGAAGTTGTATATTATTGATATAGTTTTAATATCAATACGTAACTCACTACAATAACAATGTCTGATACTCCAATCCTTAATTCAATGGTGTGTAGGGAGTATAATATTGGTGAGGAAAGGTTTTAGACGGTTTGCAAGCATCTTTGTGATAGACTGATAACAGATAATGCTTTGATTGCTTTTGAGGTTTTCCATTCAATGAAGAGGAGGGGGGAAGGGAGATATGGCTCGGTAGCATTAAAGTTAGATATGATGAAAGCCTACGATCGGGTGGAGTGGAATTTTGTGGTCAGAGTGATGGAGAAAATGGGTTTCAGTAGTATGTGGTGTGGGAAGATATTGGAGTGCTTATCTGGTTTTAATTTTAAAACCAGAGCGAATGGGGACACTTTTGGAGACATCATTCCCCAACGTGGGCTTCGACAGGGTGACCTTATTTCACCCTATTTATTTCTTTTGGTAGCCGAGGCTTTTTCAGGGCTTATACATTAAGTTGTCAATGATAATGTCATTCATGGTATTAAAATTTGTAATGGGAGTCCCCGTATCTCCCATCTCTTCTTTGCAGACGATAGTATGTTATTTGCCAGGGCAAATATGGTGGAGTGCTTGAAAATTGTTGAGATCCTTAAAGTGTATGAGGAGGCTTCTGGACAAAAAATTAATTTCTGTAAGTTTGAAGCTACTTTTAGTAAGAGAGTGTCTGCAGAAGTGAAGAATGACATTTGTAATCTTCTGGGAGTGAAGGAAGTTGATAAACATGAGAAGTATTTGGGAATGCCGACGGTGGTTGGGAGGTCGAAAAAAGCCATTTTTGGATGCCTGAAGGAACGTATTTGGAAAAAATTGCAAGGGTGGAAAGAAAAACTGATGTCAAAGCCGGGAAAAGAAATCTTGATTAAAGCCGTAGCACAAGCGATCCCTACTTATCTGATGACTGTTTTTAAAATTCCGGATTGCATTATTGATGAAATCCATGCTATTATTGCTCGATTTTGGTGGGGAAATGGGGATGATCGAAAGCTCCATTGGAAGAGTTGGGACTCCCTGTGTAGGCCAAAAAATAAGGGAGGGATGGGTTTCCGGAATCTAAATTTTTTTAACCTGGCTCTTCTTGCAAAACAAGGATGGCGTCTTATGAAGGGGGGTGACACTCTTTTGTTCCGTGTCTTAAAGGCAAGGTATTTCAAGCACTCTTCTTTTGTGGAAGTGAGGCGGGGTTTTAATCCGAGTTACACATGGCAAAGTATATGGGGAGCAAAGGCTTTGTTGCTTGAGGGTTTGAGATGGCGGGTCAGTGATGGTAGAGATATTCGGGTTTGGAAAGACAGGTGGATGCCTGATGGTCATAGTTGTATCTCTCCGTCCCCTCCTCCGAATGGCCTCCATGATCCAGAGTTAATGTTGGGTGACTTGATTAATCACGAGACAGGACAGTGGGATAGAGAGAGTTTAAATCTTCATATGCGAGTGGAGGACATCCCAAAAATCCTCACAATTCCTTTGTCTCCTCATACTCTTACTGACACTCAGTTTTAGGGTTTGACCAAAAACGGGAATTAACCGTTCGAACATCCTACTGGTTGGGTATATATGGTAGTGAGCAGCCTGCTTTGGATGAAGCTTGGAGGATCGTGTGGAATGTGAAGGGGCCTCCAAAACTGCGGCATTTTCTGTGGAGGGCCCTCGCTAATTCCCTAGCTGTGAAGGTGGAGCTGCATAAACGTCACATTATAACGGACGTTGGATGCCAGCAATGCTCTTTGGAGGAGGAGTCCATCTCTCATGTGTTGTTTCGGTGTACGGCTGCTAGGAAGATATGGTGTAATAGTCAATTCTGGGAGGTGATCCGTGACAAAGGGGATGGCAGTTTTCGGGAGGTGCTTTTATGTGTGCCTGAAAAGTTGGATGGCAATGAATTCTCGGTGTTTGCAACGCTGGCTTGGGCTATTTGGACAAGTAGAAATAAAATCATCTATGCTCATACTCCCCACAATATTGAAGTGCTTGCTGCCAGCTCCCGATTATAATGAGTATGCTCTGAAGGTCTTCAGTGGCAAGGCTGGAAGCGTGGGGCTTTCTGCTTCAGCATGGATGAAGCCACCCCCTAGTGTGCTGAAGATCAATACGGATGCTGCTGTTTTTAGGTCAGGTGAGATGGGCTTGGGTGTGGTGGGCAGGAATGATCAGGGTGCGGTAGTCTTCACTGCTTCAAAAAGATTACTGGGCTGTTGGGAGCCATCTATGATTGAGGCTCAACTGTTTGTTTCGGGCTGGAAATGGCAATGCAGCACGACTTCTCCAATGTTTGGCTGGAAAGTGATGCGTTGAGTGTAATACAAAAGATCAGAGGCAATAGCAAGGGCTACAGTTATGACTTTATTTTTATTGATCGTATAATGTCTTTATCTTCGGGTTTGTGTTTTTGTTTCTTTAGTTATGTTAAAAGGGGGGGAAACACGGTGGCACATTTAATTGCTAGATCGTGCCAGTCTAGAACTATTGAGAATGTTTGTTTTGGACCATTTCCGGAAGGTGTGATTAGGCTTGCGGAAATGGATATTGAGTAATATATTTCCCCTCTTTTGCTTCAAAAAAAAAATGGTGTGTAGGGAGTGGATAAGAAAAACAAACAAAATAGGGGATGAGATAGGATAAGATGAGATTAAATAGAGGAAAGAGATTTTAGCTTGATAGTCAAAGTGATCTTGTGATCTTTTGGAAAAAAAAAATAGTAAAATCAGTTTATTTTTTCAATACAATATAAATTGCATCTCATTAAATAAAAAGACATGATTACCCAAAAATATTACCAAATTAAATAGGAAATCATATTATACAAATATTCTTTTAAGAGATTTTGGCAAGAAAAGATACGAATTATAACATAATTAGTATAAATTTTTAGTTGAATGTGTATATATATAGAAGAAATAAGAAGACCAATAACAAATCATAATATTCTTTTTAGTTGAATGTGTATATATAGAAGAAATAAGAAGACCAATAACAAATCATATTATATAAGTATACTCTAAAAAAATTTTAACAAGAAAAGAGAAAGGATGATTTTGGAGGGAAAATATTACACCAGGAATTGACCTGTGTCATTCCTGGTGTCTGTATCAGATTAACCCTATAGTATTTTCACCTTTTTAAATCTTCTTCAAAGTATTGTTGTGTTCTTAAAAATATCCCTGGATATAGGACAAAAATCAAGCATATGGTTACTAAAATTAGGAATGTTTGTAGTCATATATCTGCCCCTATTAAATTGGTCCATGTGATATACATTATCATATAATTTGATGTTTGACCATTCCACACAATTTTGGTGTTACATTGGCTCAATAATATATTCCACAACGAGGTGTCAATTCGGATGATCGGATCGGAATTGGTGAGGTCGGATCGGTTTGGGTCAAATTTTAAAGTTGAGTCATACTGAATTATTATATCCACGCGAGTCAAAATCTAAATTGGATATTTTTTCGGATTGGTTTCGAATCAAGTCGGGTCGGATGTATTTTTGACACCTCTAAGCCCACAAGTACATATTCCCTTTATCCAAAATTAATAGTCATATGACTCACGTCAATAGAGACCCTTATTGTTACTGTCATACCCTTTACTCTTTTCAACAACTATCTTCAACACGCTTATTGTCACTGTCACACCCTTTACTCTTTTCAACGGCTATCTTCAACTTCATTCCTCTGCCTCTGATCTCCTTTCAAAATACAGCTTAAATAAACACTTGATCTTCCTAACTTCCTCCCTGAACGAGAGAATTCTGCGATTTTGCCACCAGTCACCAGTGATCAGGGGCTGTTTAACGTTGTATTGTTCTTGCACTAAGAGGATAAAAAGTATGCCATTTGTATAATTTTATGTATTATTGTCTTTATTTAGGAGGTATTGTATTGGAGAGTGAAAAGGTTTGGTTCCATAATTACAATTATGATATAGTTTTAAGCTTTTTTTCATTTAGCATTTATAGTTAAATTGCATAATCATTTCTCACATGTGTCATTCCTAGTGTCTGTCTTAATATTATATATTGATTGATGTGGTACAAATTTTAGTTAAGTAATGGTGTATAAGGTAGAGATTCTCTTATCCTTCCTTCTAATTTCAAGTGCTTGACCCGCAATATTTAGCTAAAACTAAACGAAAACAAAACATATAATTCGATCCATTCTTATTTACAATTACAAGTACTCCGCATTTGCTTAAATAAGTTGAATGGAACATAATTCATTCATGTTGACTTGTTTTACCTCTCTCCCCAAATAATTGAACCATCTATTAATCCATGTTCCATCACTTCACCAACTCCATCACTTGGCTGCGCCATTTCTCTAATCCACCGACAAAATCCCCAATTTCGAATCTTCCAACTAATTTTAACTGAACCCCTTTAACCCCAATTAAAAACCCCAGAAAATCCCAAATCCCTAATTTCCATTTTCCCGATGATATCAACCCTAATTTCAATGTGATTCAAAAGTTAAAATGGTATCATCTTCATCAGAAATTGAAGTTGTTTCAGATTCAATCTCATCGAATCACATCAATCAACAACAACAACAACAACAGCAGCAACAACAACAACAACAACAACAACAAGTGATTGTTATTAGTGATGTTTTTACTGCTTCAGTTCATGGCGATTTGATTAAACTTCGTAAATTTGTTGAAGAAGATGGCGCTTCTCTCTCTCTTCCCGACGCTAATGGTTACTACGCTTTGCAATGGGCTGCTCTCAATAATTTCCCCAATATTGTTCAATATATTATTGAGGTATTTTTTACTGTATCAATTTTTGTCGCTTTTTTTTGTAAGATTAAAGCTGAAATTTTAAATTTGCTGCTCTTTTTTATGACGTTTGTATTAGAAATTTGCTTAATTATATTGGTTTCACAGTTATTATACCTTTAACAAATACAAATACTATATACTGGATATGTGTGTTGATTGTGATTTTCTGTAATTTTAATATGATATAATCTTGATTTGTGTATATGCTTTGATTCAGAATTATATAATGAGGTTGTTGAAATTGGGATTATAACTGGAAAATGAGCTTGTTTTATTGAATGTCTTTTGCAAATAGGGTGCTATTTGTTGAGCTTACTATTGTTTGTCTGTGATTAAAGCATGGTGGAGATGTGAATGCCACAGACCTCAGTCGGCAGACAGCGTTGCATTGGGCTGCCGTTAGAGGTTCTATCGTGGTTGCGGACCTGTTGTTGCAGAATGGGGCACGTGTTGAGGCTTCAGATGCTAATGGGTATAGGGTAATTGCTTTGCTGAATTGTTTTACAAGTTAGTACATTATTTGTTTGCGAGTAAAGTTTATATGAATGTCGGTTTGTGTCATCTTTTGGGTATAAGCTGAACTGCTTCCAGAACTAGGCAGTTCTTCGTGACAAAACGTCTATATTTGCAAGGCTAGGTACTTGCAGTTAGGGTGTTATGCATGTCATAGTATACTTTGCAGAATGTTGTTTTGACTATATCCTTTTTCCGGCTTTAAGAGATTTCCTTGGTGTTTCCTTAGTGAAGCAGTGTCGATCTACTCTTTTGTGTCTATAAATTAGGACTCCTATTCCTATAATATGGATAATATTTTCCCTTGTTTGAATTGAAATTGGTACTTTTTGAAAAAAGAAAAAAGAAAAAAGAGAGTGGGTTTAAGTTGAAGGTTCTTACATGTTTCTAAGGAGAGTGTTTAGGCCTAATATCAGATGTTCTGCTGTTGATAAATTATTCAAGCATCTACAAAGAACCTTATGTTAACAAGTTGTTGGAGAATGGCATGTGTATTATTGATATTTCTTCTTGGCTCTCATACGTTTTTTCTTGTTTGTGAATGCTCCATAATTTCTTTATAGTCTTGGTGATTTCTGCAGTAAAACACCTTAAACGTAAAAGCAGATTTTCTATTTCTGTTTGAGCCTAACTTTTGAAGCTTTTGACAATTCTACATTTCACAGGCAGTTCATGTTGCTGCTCAATATGGACAAACAGCCTTCTTAAACCACATTATTGCAAAATATAATGCTGATTTTGATGCACCAGATAATGATGGAAGGAGCCCACTGCACTGGTGAGTTTGAGCCTTGAGGCATATATATGGGAGTTTACTTGGCATGTTTGATACAATATATCAATGTATAGTGGCCTTCCATTTTATTTCTTCTTTCTTTACTCTATAAAGCATCATCAGCAGTGTATATTATGATTGAATTCTTTGCAAATCTGCAATTATTTGGCATATAAGGTGTGGTTTGGTTAAGGGCTGATGGTGCCACTGGTCTTTGTTCAGAATATGAACATAATCCTAGCTCTTGTATCGTCCTCTTGTGATTATTGTTCAATTTCCTGTATAGTTAACAACAAAGCTTCAACCTTGTGGTTCTTGCTGAATTGGAGTTGGCTATAGTAAGATGTGCTTTTGCATAGGCACAGATGACCCAAGAAAAAGGGGTGGGAGAGAAAGTGTGGGGGAGTTTTATTAGACCTAGATACACCTTAAGTACTCTTTCTTGAGTTTATCATATAGGAAGATCTGCGCATCAGTTGCCACCCCCCCCCCCCTCTCTTTTAATTTTGGGTTAGATTAAATAATGCATAGTTCATTAGCTTGAAGGCTCCCTAAGGTCTCCTTTTGCAAAATTCTATTTCACTTAAACTGTTGTCTGATGAGCCAAGTGGGATCTGTGGGTTCTATGTCTTGTCATATCTATTGCCAAGCGTTAGTTTAACTCCCGGCAAGCCTAATTATATCTTTAATCTTATTTTGCCACATTAAGGGAGCTCAGTTGGCATTTGATTTGAACTCGCTTGCTCTAGATTTTTCTTTGTTGCCATGATCTAATATTTGTTTATGATTGTAAAAAATTTATTGTCCCCTTTGATGAATTAAAAAAAGTGTTTAACAGTTTTTTAACCAGGGCTGATAATTTCCTTTGACCAGGGCTGCTTACAAGGGATTTGCAGATACAATCAGATTACTTCTGTTCAGAGATGCCAACCAAGGAAGGCAAGATAAAGAAGGTATGTCAATCATAAACTGTTCTGTTGTTATTTCATTTCTTGGTTTAAGGTCGCTCACTGATGCTACATATTAGACTAATCTTACTCTCTGGAGTATGAGCAATATCGGATGCTTAGTGTTATATTTGTACATTATGTGATTTAATTACCAATCTACTTCTGGAAAAAAGAAACACATCCCAGTTAACATATATCATATAGGTTAATACATATGTGAATGTGTAATTACACATACACGTATATCACTGTAAAATTACTTTAATAACTCTAACAAAGCACTATTATAGCTGGATAGTGGTAGTTGTATGTAGCATTGTTGTAGACGCAGTGGTACAATTTATAAGAAAAAGTGCGTAGTTTGAGAGACATTTTATTTCCAAAAGTGCTTCATCCTCTCCATTTTTTTCCTGCTCCCCAACATGTTAATAAGCTTTTATGTTTATGGTGATATTGATCTTATTCGCATCTTCGCCGGCTTTTATGCGTTATTGTGGACTTTAGATTGTCTAATTTGACGACTTTCTTTGCGTTGTTAGGTTGCACCCCTTTGCATTGGGCTGTTTTAAGGGGACATGTTGAGGCATGCAGCATACTCGTGCATGCTGGCACAAAAGAAGAATTATTGGTGAAAGATAAAGCTGGATTTACCCCAATCCAGCTAGCATATGATAAAGGTCATCGGCATGTCGCCCTTTTGCTTGTACGTGATAACAAGGATATAAATGAGACTGTGGCCTTTTTTTTTTAGAGCTTAATCAGTTCTCATTATTGTTTATTCTCTGCTCTTTTTCTTTTTATCCTCTGTAATAGTTTTCTAGCAAAGAATTTATGTTCTAAATTTCTAGTTCACGTGGGAATATCATTTGTCAAAATTCAAACCATACTGAGAGGGCTAAGAATGTCGTGTTGTTTACTTTCCCATCTCCTGACAACAAAATCAAACAAATGATGACTTCATTATAGTATCTCCTCCCCCCTTTTTTTCTTGTTTATTTCTTGTGTTTGGGAAAGGAAATGGTGAATATAATTGCATCATGCTTTGAGAAACTCTCCACTTGGGAAAAGATGACTTCAATTTTGTAGAATATAAAGATTGCTGTTTTGTTGATTTGGTGACATTTATGTTGTTCGTTTCAGTCTAAACTTCAGCGGGCTCATAATAAGAGTCTAAAAGGCACATTTTTTACTGGGAAGATTGTTGGATCTGGCTATGCTCCGTTCTTGTTTTGCACCATCTTCTGTTGCATGATCCTTTTCATTAATTCAGTTCTCTTAGGTGAGTAAGATCCATTTTTCCCACTTGCATCGGTTGAGTTTTAGATGACCTATTGCTTATCATAACTGACTTATCATAACTCAATCTAGCTCCAAGTCTTGCGAAGGTTACTGCTGCTGTTGCACTCTGGGGATGGACTGCTGTAACTCTATGTATATTTGCATTGATAATGTTTTATCGTTGTAGCAGGTATCTTCTTGATCCATTGTTTGATTCTATTTTATCATTGATATTCTAAAATGGAGAGAACATAGTTTAAATGAGAATCATTATCTTACATATGGAACCCCACTCTCTGGGCTTTTTGCTGCACATACAGGGATAGATTTGATATGTGGTTACAATATCTGTTTTATAAGTCAGATATAATACATATTCATGTTGGCTTTCTTGTTATGCTCAATTCATTAATTGGATATCTGATATATTGCAGTAAAGATCCAGGATACGTCAAAAGATCTGATAATTCTGGTGATCTTAGGAAAGCACAGGTACAATAGTTGTTTGTCATGCAATTATTATATAATAATTTTCTTTTAACATTTATAGATATTTTGATTCAAAATACTCCCTTTAATTTTTTAAACTACCCACTTTATGTTTTATTTCTGCACACCACAATATTTACACCATCCACTCACTCTGAGAGGGTAGAACAAAGCAGTCAGGGGGTATGTGGATTAAATTCCTTGAAAAAAAAAAAAATCTGAAATAGCTGTTTGAATATGAACATGGAGGGAGCATGAAGACTGAATTTCTTTTTCCTTTTTTCTGGGAATGTTCAGGATCCTTTATTGAATCTTGATATGATAGACTCCTCTGTTTGGACCGGAAATTGGTCTCAGCTTTGTCCAACATGCAAGGTAAATTTCATTGGAATTTGATTCTTTAGGTTTGATTTGTTTGCTAACTTGTTAAGTTGCTTCTGATATGTTTAGCATCTCATTTAATCTAACAGATTATTAGACCACCCCGTTCAAAGCACTGCCCTACATGTAAACACTGTATTGAACAATTTGATCATCATTGCCCTTGGATTTCCAATTGTGTGGGGAAGGTAAGTACAGTCGTACAGATGCTGGCTTCTCTTATTTTAATTTGATCATTTGTGAGTCAATTGACACTGTCTTTGTTTAGGTCTCCATTATCATGTGCTCTTATAAAAAAACTATTACCAATTGTGGGTATGACAACATAAATGTTGTGTTTATTATCTTTTTATGATTGAATTCAAAAATCATTGAACAATTACTGTTAGGCTCATTTTAATCCCTGGATGTTGCAGAATAGTGCGAATTTTCCATTTTTTATCTCATGTAGTGGACCAATCTATTCTCTCCAAATTAAGCTTATTAGATCTGAGATGGAAAAGTTGCCGTGGGATGTCATGCCATAGGTGTTATTTTTGATGCCTTGATGGTGGGTGGATTGGTGGAATATATTATCTATTCAAGATTTGGAATAAGTCAGAGAAGATAACTTAAGCTGAATGTCATGATTCATAATTTATTAAATGAGTGAACACATGGGCAAGAGAGAAAGGGTAACAATTTAGTTCATGCTGGAGAATCCTGATATTAGCTGAAAGTTGTTCCTCACTACTGTCATTTGGCCTCTGAGAGTATATCTTATTGTTGTTTATGATAGAAGTTTTATCATACTTCAATGTCCTGGCTTATTTTTGCACCACTTTCAGACTTAGAATAATTTGGTTTACTTGTGTGTTAGCTCAGTGTAATTCATGCTTGTTACGGCATAAAAAATTATGTGCGCAAATTCACTGCAAATTTGCAATAGAATGAATAGATAGTTGTTGGTTAAGTGCTCAATTTTCTTTTTTTATACTATAAATTGGTGTCATTGGTACATGGCTTTGTCTGATTGTGGGGAACTTGGATAGAAAATTAATAGTATTATTTCAAAAGGGAGGATGATGCTTACATGCTTTAGTCATCATTTCAAGTACTTCTTTTTTGTAAGGTTTTGGCTATCAGTGCTTAAAAATATATAACAAGTGCATATGTATGATAGAAATAGGATTCATTATTTTACTTAATCTTCCGCATTTTGATTCTCTATGGTCTGTCTGTGTTGCAGAGGAACAAATGGGATTTCTTTGTTTTTCTGTGTCTTGGAACAGCAACATCGTCTATTAGCGGAGTGATAGCTGTTTTAAGTATGTGAGTTTCAGTTACAATGAGCTTTTGAATATCTGCTGTACTACATTATGATGCTACATCATTCTTGGATCACAGATGTATATTTATATTACAGGAATTTGGACTGCTGTACCCGCAATTCCAACTAGTGAAACGTGGACGCATTATGTGATAACTCATTATTACGGAGTTACGGTCTTCTTGGTGATAAATTTCTTAATATTCGTCTCTGCAACAACTCTGGCAGTTGCACAAACAAGCCAGGTATGGTGATGCATAAGGCATACTTCTTGAAGCAGTCATAGCTTTATTAAGCAATTTGTAATGTTTGTTAAGAAAAAAAATTCTGTCAATTACAAAATTTTGATCCAATTAGGTGGCCCAAGAGACGTATGCTATGTCGATTACAAAATGTTGATCCAATTAGGTGGCCCAAGAGACGTATGCTATTAGCCTATTAGTAATCTTTCCTCAATATATCACAAACATCTTTCCTTTCTTAATGCAGATAGCTCGGAATATCACCACAAACGAATTGGCAAATGCCTCCCGCTACTCATATCTTCGCGGTCCGGATGGCAAGTTCCGTAATCCTTACAACCACGGATGCAAAAAGAACTGTGGTGATTTTCTTATCCAAGGCTACACCGACGATAATGAGGTCCCGTGGCTTCCCTTACATGCAGTTGCCCGGTAAAACAAGTCACTGTATCTTTACACTTGCATCCGTGGCTTCCCTTACATGCAGTTGCCCGGAAGAGCTCCTGCTGGTTCACGTTCACCAAGCACTTACCATTCTTGCGTGCGCAACATACTTCTTTACACTTGCAAGATGTCACCGCATATTCAAATCCTGTAACTTTCTCATGATTCATTCAATTGCTTTTTTTTATTTTTTATTTTTTATTTTATTTTATTATTATTATTATTATTATTATTATTATTATTATTATTATTATTATTATTATTATTATTATTATTATTATTATTATTATTTTATTTATTTTTTTAAACAATTGATCCAGTGTACAGTTGATATGTATTTTCATGTCATAAACTGATAAAAGGGAAGAGAATATGAGATGCCATGAAATTTGATTCTGCTACTTTTTTTCCCTTTCAGTTTCGTGGGGGAGAGGATTGTAACCTGTAATAAACTGTAAAGCAAGGAAAGAGAAAGAGATTTTGGACGTTTTTGCAATTATGCTGGTTGACTATGGTTACATAATTCGAGCTGTAATTTATTTGGTGATACTTTTTTTTCCTCTCTCAATTGTTAGACCAAGAGGATATATTCTATGTAAAAGTTTACAGCATGCTTTAGCTGGTAACAGGAAAGTGCACATATATCCCAGCTCCAATATATAGAGAGGTAGATTCAGACCTCGTATTTTCGTTCCAAATGCCAAGAAACTTTTCAAAAACCTTAACAACGTAAAGATTAAAGGAAGGTTAAGCCCAGTAGAAAGTGTGCAATGGAGTCTATACGCGCTTTTTAAAACCTTAGAAGATATCGTTTAATTAAACAGGAAAATACCTATCTTACCCCTCTACAAAGGTCATTAGTTGCAAATTAATGCTTTTGTGAATGAATGAAAGCAGTATGTTCAGAGTGTACCTATGATGATATTGAATGCTAAGTTCAAACCCTAATCACCAAGTTTAAGGTTTGTGTCTTCGGCTTAAAGGACAATAATCACGAAAGCAGATGGTCCTTTGAAAAATGAAAGGGACAAAAGCGAGTTTGAATCTTGAACTCCTTACAGCCTTTCATGGTGGGCAGGGTCCAAGCTTTATATTATGTATGATTATGGATCTAATATGGTCCCAAAGACCTGTGAGACTCTTTTGGCATCTAGGTGAAATTCAAATCATATATTGGTGATAATTTCGGACAATTCCAACTTGGTTTGGGTAATTCTGTTTTTTTAATCGAATACAAGTTTGTTTTTCTAGGTTTATCATGAAGCTTTCAAATTGTGGTAATTAACTAATTATTGTAAAAATATAGTGTGTGTTAGTTATGATCAAAACTGTTGGATATAAAAGCAGAAGTAAAAGTTATTGCTCCTGCAAAGGTCATAAATAACCTCTTGGAATTGTTGGGGTTTTACTACAAAAAAAAAATCATACATTTTTCTGAGTCCAAACATGAACTTTTACATGAAACAATTTCTCCGAAGATTTACACAATGCCTTCATTATTTGGTGGCGATAAAAATGAAATTCACAAGAAAACACATCTACTGCCTGCAAAGTGCAAACAATCTCAAGTTTGTTGTATACCACTGGGCCAAGTTTGATTCTTTATAGGCTTCAGGATGTTCTCTATTTCTGCAAAAGTTTTCTCATCCTTTCCTTCAGCTTCGAGTTCTAAAGCGGCAGCAACATTTTCCTCTACCTGAAATGTCAACCAAGAAAACAAGCTTACAATCCACCGGCATTTTCATGAAATGTTAAGAATCCAAGAGAATGTCATTCAGTGAGAGATTTTTCAAATCAGACTAAAAACTTATAGTGTATGTATATTTCAGGACGGCTAACAGAGTGTAATATGAAATTCTAAGGGTATAGTGTTTTTGCAATAGACTCCATACTCGAGCTATTCAGAAAGCTACAACTGGTGTTATACAGCGTTCTTCTCTGAGACTACCTTGGAAAATTACTTGAAACATCTATCTCCTAGATGATTGTTGATGATTTACTTGTTTTGTATATTGATATCCTTCACAAGGTGGCTATGCAAGACAACCGTTTTCTAAAGAACTTCGCAACCTATAGTCTTGATTCGAACAGTTCGGGAACAATAAGAAACATTAAGCTTCTCTACTTGAATATAGATAGGATGATAAGGCAAATAGGAACACTGACCTGCCTAACAGAGTTCATGCCAACAAGGGTAGTAGAAATGTCTTTGTTTGACAGGCTGTACTGCAAAGCCAACTTTGAGATATTCTTTCCATTCTTCTTACAATAATCAGCAGCAGCTTTACATGCAGCCTGCAAACAAGAAATCACAAAGATAATATGAATAACAAGGGCATAATATCTTGGGCCGATTACCGAATACTGATGAAATAGATATATACCTTAATCTCTGTTGAAGCTGGATGCCACTCTGGGGGACCATTTTCGGTATGAAGCCCCATTGAAAGTGGAGAAGCATTGATCACACCAACACCTTTGCTCTTCAAATACGGAAGCAAATCTTCTAAGGTTGAGTCATTGATACAATAGTGGCAATATGACAGAACAACATCAATTGTCCCAGGTGGAACTCGGTCAAGAACATACGTATATATTTCCAATGGAAGTCCAGTTATACCAATGAACCTAGTCTTCCCAGATTCTTTAATTTTCTGAAGGGCAGGAATCGTCTCATTGACAATCTGCATACGGAAAAACAAATGAGCACAAAGTGAATGCAGATAACACTTGTAAACCAGGTAGATGAATGAAAGAGTAACCCTGAACTCGAACCTGATCAAGAGAACCGAATTCAATATCATGACATTGTAATATATCAACATAATCAAGTTGCAACCTCTCTAGGCTTTCATCAATGCTCCTAGTCACCCTTTCAGCACTAAAATCAAAGCCTTCGGCATAACGGCCGCACTTAGTTGCAACAATATACTGATCTCTAGGTGCACCAAGTGCTTTCAAACACTTCCCAAGCACCTTCTCTGACAATGTGGCACCATAGTACCTAAACATAATTAGGTGAGATCAATTGACAAATCCCACAAAAAAAGATTCATCTTTACACTTTATCAACTTCAAAAAATGGGCCTGGCTGCAATGCGCCAGTTAGGTTCCATCCTAAAACTAATCGGACGTGTCATACATTAGCAATAATCACTCCACGTCTCCAATGTAGGACAACTCAATGTTGCATTAGATAAGTCAATAATTTTATTGCATAGAAATATAGAATAGATACCTACACTATCAATTGGTTTACAAGAAATCAAATACTGATTAATTCTGTCAAAACCATTTTAACCCTTGAACAAAATTTCAATTTTTTTAGACAAATATAAAGGATTATGGAAAAAAATTGATGCCCCAAATAAATATCACCAATCAAAATTCCAACCATTCCAAATAAATAAGCTTCAAGATAGCAATAAAATTGGGGAGAAAAACAAAAAAGGGTCATTAATATAAATGAAATTAATAGAAAGATGAACTTACGGAGAAGTGTCAAAGAAATTGATACCCAAGTTAAAAGCTTGAGTAATAGTAGCAATGGATTCTTCTTCAGAAACATCACCAAAGACTTTGCCAAGAGGAGAAGCGCCGAAACCCACACAACTGAGATTGAGGCAAGTTTTGCCCAATTCTCGGCGCTCTAATTTTTGGTGGGTATTCATTGCTATAATATGGGTTTTTGGAAGGGATGTTTTTTTGGGATGATGAAAGATAGGTGAGATCAAATTGGAATTATTCTGGTTTGGTTTTAGACCGATTACTTCAATGTGCAGCGAATTATTCGGAATTCTGCATGATTAATTTTGGTAGAAACATAAATTGTTCATTAGTGATGAAGAGAAGTTAGAGAACTAGTGGTTGTACATAGTCCAGTACATATTGGGCCTAGTAGCTGCTTCAATTGCATAGATATCGAGGTTTCATGCGATCAGCCGGCCAACCCAACACACTTCGAACTTTGTAGTCCAAACTCTTTTTTCTTTCTATTTGAGACTAGATTTAAGCAGTGGGTTGCAAACATGAGTTACAACGATGAAGCTGATGTATCGAACTATCGAAGACAGCTTAGACAAGGTGTCGATATTAAGGTCATGGGGTGTTAAAAACCATACTAGACTGGGTCGTCTTGGATAGTTTAAGGGTTTTGTACTATTTTTAAAAATTGGATCCTTATAATTGAGATAAAAATGTAATACGAGTATACAAAGCAAAAAACATGCATAGCACTATTAAGCGTTAATTAAAAAGATTGTTTCCTTGATTACGAAAGGTACTTGTATGTAGTAATGTAGAAGCTAGTTTTGTATGTTGAGTTTTATTAAAGGTTAGACTAAGCTCACTTTCATGTATGAGAGGCCAAGTCACCATACTTTTCAAAGATGTAGACGAGTTTTGATCTTATTAAATATCACTCTCAAAACTTTATCAACTAAGGTAGCTGTTATCTACATTTTAATGCAGTTTTGTGCTACCCCAATTAAATACATACGAAGTACATTTATAAATACCTAAATTTGAAAATTAGATCGATTCATATGATATCAGGGACGAAAATCAAGTCATATCAATCGATAAAGTTAAACTAAATATAACCCTTCTAAATTTGTCTATATATAGATTTATCTTTCTTCGCGAGTAAGGTGAGACGCCTAACTGCTATAGGTTACTAAACCTATCACAGTTGGGTGTTAAGACTTCCCCCTTTCTTGGCAGACTCAAATTAAATTATACACGCAATTACATGATATACAATTTGTTATAGTAAAAACATACTACAATTTATGTACTGTAAGTCAAAGTACAAGAAACACCGTTAAAAATATTACATGCATTCATAACTATATCATGCATGCATGTTCTTTAATTACAGTTTCATGTTCCTTTGTTCCAAATTACTACCTCTGTTTTTTTTAGTTTACACGTTTTGACTTTAACATTATTCACACAATTTTTTTTAACCGTGTTTTGTAATTTATACGTAATGAAAAATATAGTCATGCGGAGTCTTGTTAGATTCGTCACGATATATATTTTCAAAATATCAACTTCTTATAATTTTTGATAATCGATAATTAAAAATATTAACGGTTAAATTTATGCATTGACAAACGTGACTAATTAAAAAAACGTGTCAACTAAAAAGAAATGGAGAAAGTAACTACGGATTAGTTTATAAAAATAATTCACATCATGCTATCAAGTTTATGTCTAAACACTTTGGTATACCTATCGATATTAGAGTTTTGTTCCTCAAAGCATTCAAATCAAGATGCCAATGACAAGGATCGACAACGTATATTATTTGTCATATTTATTATTAATTTATTACATATAAACCTATTACAAGTTGCAAATGTATATAGTACATTTTTAATTAAAGTTTTTATTTTTAATACTCTATGCAAATGAATTTACGGGGACCAACCGACCAATAATGTCTCTCAATAAAATAATGTTTCGATATTCTAATTAAAATGTGCATAATTGGTACGTGGTTGTGTAAATTGATTGATGAACAGGTGATAGCGTGAGGGAAATATCCACTTTGGGATGTATGTCGTCATCTTATAGCGTGAGTTTGACTGTTTGAGAGAACAGTATCTCACAAAATCAGATGTAAATTACTTCCTCCGTTCTTTTTTATTTGACCCGTTTTGACTTTTACACTATTCATCACCTCTTTTTTGACCGTCTTTTATAAATTATATATATGTAAAAACATATTCATGTGAGATCTTGTTAGATTCGTCTCAGTAAATACTATCATAATATATATTTTCTATAATTTTTACTTATGGGGAATTAAAGTTATTGATCGTTAAAGTTATGCATTGGCAAGCATGATAAATAAAAAAGGTCAAGTAAAAAAGAATGGAGGAAGTAATATTTAATAAATAATAAATTAATAATAGTATAAGTATAATACATTCACAAAATTATGGTGGTTTAAAGCTAATGGTTAGAGTCCTAGAATTGGATTTATAAATTTATAATAGTCTATCAAAATTCGTAGAGGCAAGCTATTAGCAATTTGTTTGTTAAAAAAACTCCGTAATTGCCTAATAAAGTAAGTATTTTATATTAAGGCGATAATTAAGAAGATTAAACACAATCCAGCTTAATGTGGACTATGTGGATTATTGTTGAGCACTTTCTCTTGTGGAGTACTTTTTGAGAGGAATGGGCTAAGAACACTTTTAATTTATTTGCCATAATTTCCAAAAAAAGACATGCATCAAATCAACAAATTTTATTCCATTCCCAAATTATTTCAATTTAGAGAGTGTATATATTTTAATTAATGAGTAAATACAAATATGCTTGCTTAATTTCAAATAAATTTAGATTGATGATTCCATATAAATTCATTCTAAATTTCTAATAAGTTCAATTTCTCTATTATACTGAATGTTGCACTACTTTATATCTTAATTTTTGCTTATGTAATCGTAATGCCTTGTTGGATAATGTGCATCCTAAATTTAAGTATTAATTTGGAAATTTTTACACTCCGTACAAAACCTAATTTGCTCGTTTTATTCCTACTCGACTTCCTATATCCCTTGTCAATTTCACCAAAGGCCGATCTATCTAGTCAACGGTAATTTTTAAAGTTTGATAGCATGTGTTTTCCTATACATAGATTGTAGATTATTTAAAGAGCGTAGTAGAATATATATAAAGTGTACTTACTAAGTTACTATACAAAAAACCCTACTTATAATAACCATTGTTACCAAGCTAAATTTGGTTTACTGGTTAAGTTTGTATTTCACAATCAAGAAGTTGTGAGATCAAACTCCACTAGAGACATTTTGGGGGTGGAAATTCCCTTATCCTACCAGTATAAGAATACAATAAAAAAAATAACAGACGCTAAATACCGACTGAATATACCTGGTAGGAGTAGTAATCTTTGTTGTATTTAGTGGTCATCGCATGTAAAACAAAAGGCCAAAAAAAAAGTCAAATAGAAAGGAATGGCAACTCCTAATGTAAAGGAAATGGAAGCAATATAATGATACGTTTTGCATGGAGAAAGTCGAGAAACTTCAACATCCGAATTCACACACGACAGTCCAGATATTTCAATTCTGTTTGACCATTTCTTCACCAAATCTGACTGACTTTTTTTTTTTATTTTTATTTTTATATCAACCTTATTTATTAAGCTTACTACTATATAGCATATACTTTGTATATAATAGGATTATACTATATGATACAAGTATTTTCTAGCATTATTTTGTGTGTATGCCGGCCAAAATATGGCAGATTTCGGCTGGATTTTAAATTCTAATTACTTCTTAGCTTCTAGAAAATTAAATTAACAACTGATTAGTTTTTGATAAATTTGCCACTTTCAATTCTTACTTTCAGACTATTTTTCTTCTGTTTTACTTTTTTAATTAGACCATATTTTCATGTACGTAAATTAAAGTACGGGTTGTATTCAAGAAAAAGGTGAACTTTATTTTTTTCCTCTTCCAATAGTTTAGGATTGGAACAATTTATAAAGGTGGTATTCTCCTACTTTGATTTGACAATTTGATAAACAGTTGAAAAATGTTAAAAAGAGAGATTATAATAAAATTATTTCCTTTTTATTTTAATAAGATATTTCTTCTAGTCAAAGAATGCATAAATTATTGTCACTACCATACCTTATCCTATTTTGATTATTCTAAGTATCAATATATACAAGTGCAAATTTATAGATTTGGGAAGATCATGAAAATGAAATTATTTTGTGTACTTGTGTTTATTTAATTGAAGGAAAATATTGTCTAAGAAAAAAATACACGTTTGTTAGTTGTTGAAAGCGAAATATATAATTTTGACTACTATAAGAAGCTAAGACATGTATGTCATGAATTATTCTCACCTTAATAATGCATATTTTGGGAAAAAATAATAATTTCGGAGTGACACGTATCCATTGCATACGGCATACCCCTTTAATTTATACAAAATCCTAAGTTCGATTTTGGTTAGTTGATACTTCAACTCACAATTCACAAGGAATGTATGTTCTTCAAATTTAACTCTTCTAGAATTGATTGCATTTTTGGCTGGCCAATAAAATGATCGATGAGTTTTTGACTTGCATGTTACAAAATTATATAAACTAATCCATTTTTTATAACATAAATTGAGTTACCTAATTTGGATACAAACTTTAATTGAAACTAATATAAGTACCTTGATTAAGAATCGACTTAATATAAAAAATAAAAAATACTACGTCATTCAGTTTACATAAAAAATGTGTTTTAAAACCCAAATATGACCTAAGCACACTGCAACTAATTCATCACATGATGTGATCTCAACTGAACTAATTAACTAACTATTGTGCATACTTCACATTTACACATTGATGTGATGTTATTCTAATTTAAGAGATATACATACACATAATAACTATTTTTTCAGTCCCATTTTACTTGTTCAGATCCATTTGTTAGTCAAATGAGACAAATAAATTGGGACTTACGAGAAGGCCATAGAAAATATGTATCATTTGATGTCCATTGGCTTTTTTTTTAAATTTTTTGATAATGTGAAAGAGTACCTAATAACCAATCTATACTAGTGTAAAATACTAATGGTATATATTACTGCAACAAAAGATAGCATAACCTAATAAGAACACAATTGTAGAGAAAGACAAATATTTGGCGCGTGTCAACAAAGAGTAACTAGCCGCGTACGTTATGACTTACGACTTGTCAAACCTAAGTAAAATTAATTACTTTAATTAGCAACTAATTCAACGTCTATCTGAGTAATCATCATCTTAATTTATTATATCACACACATTAATCATATGAACCCACTCAATATACTATATTTTACTCAATATGTCCATCTAATAAAAATTCAATTAGATATATAAAGTATAACATATTATATAATCTCCATGATTTATGGTGTACCCATTACTAATAATTGTGCAAATTATAACCCATGTTCACATTATTTCGATATGTAACCCATTATATATAACAAGGTGTACGCATTAATTTCTAATCAAGATTATTATTAAGTATTATTAGCAGATTTTAAGCTTGGAAATACAATTTGTGTCAAAAAACTTGATCGAATATTATATATGGAGGCTTCCATGATTACAGGCTTCACTGATATGGTAATTAATTATAAATTTATAACTATAGCTATACAAAAAGTTAATTTATTTGTTCGTTTAAACATTTTTAATTTTTTAATATATGTCTCTAGCATCTATCTAGTCCAACCGTTGTATATCCAGCTATCCTATACATAAGACGTAACCATTTGTATGTTTGTGTGTGTCGTCTCATGCTTTGAATTTGTTTTTCAGGAATTGGATGATTTTAGCTTTATTGATCATCTGCTGCAAGTCAACTCATCATCACTTGAACAAATAGATTTATTTGGACCACCATTGTTACCTTCTTATGAAGAAGATACTTATAAAAAAGATACAAATTACAACCAATTGCAAGTTAAGAGATCTCCACAAATCGATCATCATACAATCGTCGAGGAAAAACCTCTCATCAAACAACACATAACAAATAATTGGAACTCATCATATGAGATTGATCATGCATTCACTTCACAAGATGATGATTATTCTAATATGAACATGTTATCTTTTTCATCATCAAGTTCTTCAATTAATTCACAAAATTGCATTCCTAAAGCCACTCAAGTTGCTAAGAAAAGTAGCGCCGCCTTGGCTAGCTTGTCACAACAACCTAAGGATCACATAATAGCTGAGAGGAAACGCCGAGAGAAGCTTAACCAGAGGTTCATTGCCTTGACAGCCACTATTCCTGGACTTAAGAAGGTACACATTTTATATACTCAAATTCCCTAGTTAACCCTATTATTATTTAGTTATTCGCGATAATAATATATATATATATATAATAAGGTTGTTGTTTACGTGCTCTTCCTATATAGGTAGAATTTCTCATAAAAAGTACATAATTTTCGCAGTTATTATCCAAAATGGGTTTTACCACTCTCATGAATTGAAATAAAAGTGTAAATTGTAAAAAAATATGGAAGTAATACTTAGCTTTCTAGTTTAATTTATTAGTTATACATGCTAGCTATTCGACTTGCTTCTTCTTATATGATTGTATGTCAAAAATAAAAACCCTAATTATTATTATATGATGTCACGTCTTTTTAAATATATTGGAGTGATTATTCCATGGACAGATGGACAAGGCTTCAGTCCTTGGAGATGCCATCAAATACGTGAAGCAATTGGAGAAGCAAGTGAAGAAACTCGAGGAGGTAACTAAGACAAAAACAATAGAATCCGCGGTGTTAGTGAAAAGGTCTAGGGTTTTTGAAGAGGAAGAAAATGATCAGTTTATAAAAGAAGGTCCATTATATCCAGAAATCGAAGCCAAATTCTCAAACAAAGATGTTCTTATAAGAATAAATTGTGAGAAGAAAAATGGAGTCGTCGAAAAGATCATTTCTCATATTGAAAACCTTCATTTGGTTGTTATCAATAGTAGTACCTTGGTTTTTGGATGTTCATCTATTGATGCTACAATTATTGCTCAGGTATGGTAATCACTTCTTTTTCTCCTTATGAAAAGAAATTTTCGAATTTTTCAACTGCTTACTTCCTCCGTTCCAAATTATATGACACGCTTCTTTTATCACGCTTGCCAATGCATAAATTCAACCGTAAATATCTTTAATTCTCGATAAGTAAAAATTATAAAAAGTTGATTTATTAAAAGTACACATTAAGAGGATTGTAACAAGATCCCACATGACTATGTTAAAAGCTTGTCAATGTTGCATTGTGAATAGTGTCAAAAGTCAAAGCGTGTCATCTAATTAGGAACGAAGGAAGTATTTGTTACCTCGGTTAAATTTTGTAACACCTATACATAACATATAGATAATAGAAATGATAATTTTCTAAATTAAAGTTATTTTGAAAGTAACCCTAATTGGATATTTGGATAGATGATGCACTACTATTACTATGTCTAAATAATTATTTAGACTTATCAACTTTATAAATAAGAGAGTGAGGGATATCTCAAGTGGTTTTTCTCCCAATTTTAGGGGATCTTGAGATCGATTCTCATCATCCGTCCTTGTAGTTCTCTAAAATAACAACAACAACAACAAACAAAAAAAAAAAACTTTATAAATAACTATTTGAATTAAACTGATTTTTTTATATTAAATATCCTAAATTTATTTATTTGATTTCGTTATATATGTCTAAACTTTATTTTTTTCTCGCCTTTAAAAAAAAAAAATTTACTAGCATCATCGGTGTTGTCATTATTCATAACTAGCTTAGAGGCACACGCAATGCGTGCGCGATTATCTTTTTAATTTGCTCTAATAATTAGAAAATATAACACGAAGGACTAATAAGCGAATATTACAAAATAGTGATATTCCCTCTGTTCCTAGCTAAAAGTTGACTCACTTTGCGTTTGACTCATATTTTACCTTTTCTAGTTTTTCTAAAGTATATTAAAGCGAATCAATGGTAATTAATAATCATGATAATTAAAATAAACAATTTTCAATGTCTCACAATTTTTTTTCCCTGATTAATTTAGATGGATGCTGAATTCAGTATGACAAGCAAAGATCTAGTCAGACATTTACATGCTGCTCTTAAACGTTTACTGTGACCGAATCACTTCTTACACACACAAGGAAGACTCAGATTTGCTGCTTAATTTTTTTAACTGCCTCTTTGGACTGTATTACGGAATACGGAATATACTACGAGTAGTATACGGAAAAAGCTCGAATTCTGTCGGTCATTAATAGTCGTGTGGATAATGTAATTTAGACAAGTAACGTCATGAGTTAAAATTTAATTTCCCTATAGACTTTGATCATATTTCTCTCTTTCACCCTAATTTATCGTTAAGTTTCATATTTGTACTTAATTTGCCATTTAATTAAAACAATGGTTCCGCAAACTCTAATGCTAAATCATTTTTAATTAATGATTTATCAGATTGCTAAATTTATACACCGGTAACATACATGTAAGACTATGGTTTATTTCTAAAAAGTTTTCTAATTTAAATTAAGCTTAAATAAGTGTTTTACAATTTTACTTGTTAAGTAATTTGTAACGGTCAAATTAGGCTTACAGTAATCTATCATTCGGAGTAAAACACTGGCTCATGAAATTCGATCATCAAATTGATAGAAGTCACTCTTGTCTCACAAGAAAATTAATTAAATCGTCTCATATAAGACTTTGTCTACCTATTTACAAATCTAAGGAGGATGTTTGAAGATCGACGGTCAAGATATTCTTTTAATTTGTCAAATAGAGTAGGAAAGTTGGGCCAATAATATACAACAAATGCTGAAATAGACGAGCAAATAAGGACCAAATTTAGTTAAATATTGTAAGAGATCAAGCCAACATACAAGATAGGAACATTTTAAGAGTTTCATCATATTTTTAATTTCTCTTTTGACGTTTTTTTTGTCTCAAGTGTATTAGAAGTTCTTTCACAAAGACAAGCCAAATTTTGTTGGAAAAAGACCTCAAATTTAATATAATTAACAAATTTGTTTTTTCTAGCTAATTTATGTCCTTAATAAAAAATATCGTTTACTTTTTTTTTTTCCCTTTTACCTTATGTTTCGGGTAAAAACAATAAGAATTCTAAAGAAAGTCCTTAGTCAAATGGGGTGAAGACGAGCTCGGTCCAATTACAAATGCTTAAATTATGAGGATGTAGGAGATGGAGGGATGATTAGTCCCTCCATCTCTCCCCCCCCTCCCCCTCTCCTCCCAAAGTGGTTGGGGATTCGACTCCTCATCCCCCCGTTCCTATGATAGGATGGGGGGCACTTCCTCGTATACCTTACTGATTATAAAAAAAAAATTACTAGTGCTTATACTTTGACATTCATAATTTACTATCACTCTTTTTTTGCCGCATTATTTAGCCCCAGTTATTACTAATGCTTATACTTTGACATGCGTAAAAATTGTTCACTTGATTGCCGACTTGACGACTTCCATCAATTGGTAGACATAATACACACATAAAGACAGTACATAATGTTATCCAAATGAAAATGATAATTGGACTTTACTAAATGATAGAACATAACATTAATTAAACTTCTATATTAATATTTGCAAATTGTAATTATTAGATTAATTAATAAATCAATGATATGCCCTAGTTGAGGAAGATCGATGTTAAGGGACCCAACTAGATATTGGTGACCGGATGAATAAATTAACAAGTATACATATAAGTCCATTTAATTTATGTTAGAAGAACCTAAAAACAACAAATCAGTTTAATTAATTAATTTATTTAATATTGAAGACAAATCTGCGGAAAGACAGTGGAATCTTTTGAAGCCCTTCACAAGAATACTTATCACTGCCTATATACTAAGCATATAATTAATTATATTGTATATCTGTATGAACTAAAATGATTAATTTCTCAATTTAACACATGGTAAGATAGGAGCAGTACTAATATATGTATATAAACATGCATGATCGAAAATTACAACTTTATATGACGGATTTTAGCCTTGTTACATGATGACTTAATTGAGATAATCGAAAATTACAACTTTATATGACAGAGTCCCTTCTCCCCTCGATCTCAAAAAGTGTTTGACCCGCAAATATCGGACCAAAAAACCGTGAAGGTTGAGGTACGGTCAGGGTCCTTCTCCTTACCTTTAAAAAAATACAAAGTAAAACTTTAGAGCTACAGAGTACATTAGGCATTTTTTGAATGTAGTTGTTGAATATATACATCAAATATGTTACTATGTATAAAGACTAGATTTATGTTTACAAAAATGAACTTTTATTGTATATAAGGCTGGGTAACTTTAAATAATTTTAGGGTAATTTTTAGCCGTCTTACAATAAGTTAATGAAAATCCGTTTTATTCAAGAATTTGTGTTAATTTTATTTTCTTATTGCTAATTGGGTCTATAATGACATATCGTTATGTAAACCTCGTTTTAATTTCTCATGTATGTATTGATCTTTTTCCTTCAAACTTCTTGCATGTACGACAACTCGTGTAATGAATTTTTCATTTGTTTGACTTAATTGTAAAAAGTCAACTGGAGGTTTACCTACTTGGTTGATAGTTGATACGTACATACGCTTGATAGGCTCTCTAGAAATTAAACAAAAGTATATACCATAGCGTGGTCCTTTGTAAGTAACTTAATTCCTTAATTCTCTATGAATAATGGGTACGAACATAATTAAAAAAAAATTGTACTAAATACTTCTAAATTTGTTGTCAATATTTGTAACATTCTCGAGTTTGATCTCAGAATGTTAAGTTTCGATTCAAGATGTAAATCTTACTTTTATCAATACTGAAATATTTTTTAGCACACATCATATTCTTCTAATGTGTCTTCTGAATCTACTTTCTTTTTCATTAATTACCAATAAAAAATGCAGTTCTTTTCAAATAAACAATGATACTCAAATTGCAAATAAGAACGTAATCTGAATCTCATTAAGTTAATTTGACAAAATAAGTTAAGATAAATTCCAAGTAATATCCTTACTTAACCTTTCTTGGATGGAGAACTTCTTCCTCAGTTCCTCCAACAACTCCCACTTATTTTCTTACAATTTTTAGGAAAGGAAAATAGGGGGGGGGGGAAGTAAGATAAAAAAATTAAAAAAATCGATTGTCTGTTGATATGAGAATTCAAAGTCAACACCGAGGTTCTAACCACATTATCCAACAAAAAAGGCAAAAAAGAGTGACTTTATTTGTTGCTACAATTGACGTATCTGCCGGCCTATTATTGGAAGACTTGCTCTTAATACTCGTTTTTATGGTTTGTTATACTTTTAGACGATTCTTCTTATTTTTAGGTTCCATTTTCATGTACTAAAGTTTTTTTTGGTGAAAAGGTATAATATGATTTACCAATATTTAATAAAATAGTTTCGGTTTTAGTACGGAGTATATCTTCTTCCAATATCATAATTCAATCAAGGATGTCTAGGATTGAAGGAGTACGTGAAAGGCATATATGTAACTATATAAGGACTCTGTAGTTGTGTTTTAATATAATGTGATAGCTTTGCGTACTTCCTAATATAGTATGCACACGAGCTAATCATAATAATAACAATTATTATTATTGTTTGTAAAAGTTAAAGACACTACATGTTATCACGCCTGCTTGACACATTATCTTTATCTTAGTTAAACGTACTATATGCATGATGCCATACCTGATCCAAGTTGTACAATGATGAGCATGAAAATGGCCTAGTTGGATACAAACACAACATCATATGTATGTAATACTATTGTAGTTAAAAATGGGGGATACGAGTACTATATAGAGTATGAATTATATTTTCAAAATAAAGATTTTATGAAACTCAATACGGAGAAAAATTTACTCTAAAGAATATTCAAACAATCAAGATGAAAAAATCATAAAAGTAACATAATTGAAAAAAAAGTTAGTCCAAAACGTAAAGTAAAAAAAAAAAAAAAAAAAAAAAAAAAAAAAAAAAAAAACTCAAGTAACAATATACGGAGTATCTAAGGATTCGACTTCTATAGTGTACGTACTATCATACTCTGTGTTCGATATAGATACGATGATCAATTGAAGTAACTCATGCTTAATAGCTTCACATAAATGATGACATAACGGCACCAACACACTATTATGGCTCACCATAACACAGAGAAATAATCAATATTTAATTAGTATACTTGAGAAGCATAATAAACTCATGTTGTTTAGCAATTGAGCATTCACACACAGTCGCACTACTCTCTTGGTTATGAAGTAGATATATTAATGCGCGTTTCAACTATGTATGATCAGCGCGTAATGACTGTATTACTTACTAATTACGTTAATAATTATTAATTATTAATTATTAATTACCACATCTCATAATTACAAACATTAGAGCAACTTCAATGGTCGTAGCTAGGGACTTGCTTGCAATTTCCAAAAGTCTCTAGCTATTAGCTTCACCATTGGAGCTAAAAAATACGCCGACTAATTTGCTAGAGAAAAAAGTTTCTAAAATTTTAGAGATTAATATACTAATATAATTAAACTTTTAAATATAATTTAGAAAGTTAAGCTCATTTGAATAGCAAGCCATTAGCTAACCATTGGGGCACAAAATAGCTACACAAAATTAGCTTAAAATCTTATGTGGCATGACAAGCTTATTTGAGAATTAGCTTACTATTAGAGATGCTCTTATCATCAACCAACCCTGAAAATAATAAGTACTTGTATAATTAATTGTATATTTGTGTGTATTTCAACATCTAGCTGGTATAAAATAGTATTTAAAGTTCAACTTTATATACACACATTAATCATATGAACCTCTTTTAACCAATTAGAGTGTTAATAACTTTATTAATTTGGATCTGATCCTTCAAAGTGGGACCTACACTTGTATATTTAATTTAATAAAATATTAGTAACATTATTATATTAATATAACCTCCATAATTTATGATTAAACTCTCACCAATTCAATAGCATAAAACCCAGTTCACATTTCAACTAAAGAGTCCATAAAAATCCCAACAATATTTGCAATCATATCACAATTTTAGCAGCTCACTTCTTTGTCTAGTTCTTTCTCTTTCTCTCTCTTCATTTCTTGGCCATTTTTAGTTAAGAATTAAGCGCAAATATTATGGAGGTCTCAATGTTTTCTGGCTCTCCTGATCTGGTAATTATAAATCCATTTTTCTTGTTTAAATTTTTATTTCTCTAGTAGTACATTTATTTTTGCCTATCATATTATCGGCGTTTTAAAAATAATCATTTTGTTCGAATGTTAATTACTGTATATATGTACTCAACTTGACCATCCTGAAATAAATGTTCATTTTTCTTTTTTATGGTTTCAAAATAAAAATAATCGCTAAATACACCACAGACGATCTGGCCTTATTATGGGTGTTGAACATGGAAGCTAAGGGTGTACGAGTTACCACCCTTCGCTTCCACTTCATGATTAATATTCATACATATGTCATACAATATACATCTCTAGTTGCTATTAGTATATGATTATTAATTTTGTTACATACAATTTTTGCAGGGAACGTTGAACAATGATCTTAACTATTTCCATAATCAACTACAAGTCAACTTACTCGACGAGCTATTAGGATCATCTCTACTACCTTCCTATGGTGATAATATTTTTTATCAAGTCGAATCGAATCAAGGCCTAATTAGCTGCAAGAGATCACCACAAACTGATCTGCATCAAGCAACCATCGTCGAAAATCCCATGAAAAAGGCCAAGACAAACAATTGGGACTCTTATGATCATCAAATGAATCATGTATTGTATTCACAAGATCAACATGACTCCAATTCAACCATGTTGTCTTTTTCGAATTCTTCCAACTCTTCTATTAGCCAAACTTCAAGCCTTATTACACCCAAAGAAGAAGCCATCTCGAATAATAATGTTAATAACTTCTCTTTTCATCATGAAATGATTGTTAATCAAGCTTCTAAACTTGACAAACAAAGTTGCATTTTCGAGTCCCGGCCTCATCAAGTTGTTTGTTGATAAGTATATTAGGTGACTCGTACTTCGTAGCTTTGTCCGCCCGATCGGGCGGACATTGCCCGGTCTGACCGGGCGGAAGAAGAAGAGGTGCCTGGCAAATTCGTTGAAGAAGCTGCTCTCGCGCCCGACCGGGCGAGCCTTCGCCCGACCGGGCGAGCCTTCGCCCGATCGGGCAGACCTTGCCCGGTCTGACCGGGCGGTGGGGGTTGGATACGTTGAAGCATTCGTATGGAGTTTTCTTCTCGCGCCCGATCGGGCAGACCTTGCCCGGTCTGACCGGGCGGAGAAGGAAAAATACGGAACGCGGATTTTGCGGTTTTAGGTTATCTTATTTTATTATCTTTTTGCCCAAGTATCTTTTAATTAGGGATTAATATAAAACCTCCCTAATATCAGTATTAGGGTTAAGAGAGATAGAGTGAGAGCCGTTCTTGAGAAATACAAGAATCATCTTTGTAATCTTTGCAGTTTATAGTGAAATCATTCGATCTCGGTGCCCGTGGACGTAGCTATCACATCGATAGTGAACCACGTAAATTCTTGGTGTTGTTCTTATTGTTTGCATTGAATTTCTTTATTGTTTTCTTGTTTGTTTTCGACCTTTGCTTCCGCTGTCGCACAACAATTGGTATCAAGAGCTCAGGTTCAATCCTTGGATAGTTTCTTGAAGATAACAATGGCAGGAGATTCAACAATAAGAATTGAGAAGTTTACCGGGAAAAATAGTTTCGGGCTATGGCAAATTAAGATGAAGGCTCTGTTAAAACAACAGCAGATATGGCGTCCGTTGGCTCCAAAGAGTACTACTTCGGAGTCAGGAGACGGACCGACTGACTCGCAGTTAGAAGTTATGGAAGAGAAGGCACACTCTACCATATTACTTAGTCTTGATGATCAAATCATCACGGAGGTGGCTGATCAGGAAACGGCGGCTGGATTGTGGCTGAAGCTGGAGTCATTGTATATGACTAAGTCGTTGACCAACAAATTATTACTGAAACAGCGGTTGTTTAGCCTCCGGATGCAGTCAGGTACTTCCTTACGGGAACATCTAGAAAAACTTAACTCTATTTTGCTTGATTTACGTAATTTAGATGTTAAAATTGATGATGAGGATGCTGCGTTGATTTTACTTGTATCTCTACCGTCTAGCTTTGAGAATTTTGTAGAGTCTTTTGTTGTTGGTAAGGATTCTATAACCTTAGAAGAAGTGAAGGCAGCACTTCATACTAGGGAACTCAGAATGAAAGCTACGAGTGATAATGGGGATAATGGTAGTGGGTTATTTGTTAAGTCCGGAAAGTCTAAAAAGAATAAGGGGTTTAACAAGGGGAACAATGCTGGGTCGGGTGCTGGAAACGGCAAGGATGGATCTAGTAAAACTACTACTAAAACATGTTATTACTGTAAAGAACCGGGTCACTTTAGGAATAATTGTCCGGTGAGGAAAAACAAGTCCCAGGCTGCTGTAGTTGAAGAGAAACCGAATGAGAGCTATAATTCAGAGGAAGATTTAGCATTAGTCAGTTCTGCTAGGTCTGATGATTTATCTGATAACTGGGTTCTAGATTCGGGGTGTTCGTTCCATATGTGTCCACGTCGAGATTGGTTTGATACATATGAACCTCGCAATGGGGGTATGGTTATAGTCGGTAACAATGCTCCATGTAAGGTCACAGGTATTGGTTCCATGAGGTTGAGGACTGTTGATGGGCGGAGGTTAACTTTGACTAATGTACGGCATGTTCCTGCTTTAGGAAAGAATCTGATTTCATTGGGTACCCTGGATGACTTGGGGTACAATGGTGTGTTTTCAGATGGGGAGTTGTGTATTTTCAGAGGTTCTGAGTTGGTACTTAAGGGTATCAAAAGGAACACCCTCTATGTTTTTGAGGGTGTTACACTGCCTAGTTCTGCGGTTTGCGCATCTGTATCTCACCAGGAGATGACTAAGATTTGGCACATGAGGCTTGGTCATATGGGGGAGAAGGGGATGCAGCTATTGTCCAAGAGGGGTCTTCTATCCGGGGTCAAGGTTGCCAACCTTGAATTTTGTGAGCATTGTGTGTTTGGTAAGAAACACAGGTCAAAGTTCAGCAAGGGTGCTCACATTACTGATGCAGTGCTCGATTACATCCATTCAGATTGCTGGGGTCCATCTAGAGTTGAAGGTATGGGAGGTTACCACTATTTTGTGTCATTTGTTGATGACAAGTCCCGATACACATGGCTTAGGTTGCTTAAGTCAAAGGATGAGGCCTTCAAAGTTTTCAAGCAATGGAAAGCTTTGGTGGAAAATCGACAAGGAAGGAAGATCAAGAAGCTACGAACGGACAATGGGCTAGAGTTTTGCAAAGACGAGTTTAATCAGTTCTGTGCAGATGAGGGTATAGGTCGGCATCATACTGTCAGGAAGACACCACAGCAGAACGGTGTAGCAGAACGGGTTAATCAGACACTGCTAGAGAGAGTTCGATGCATGCTCTCTAATGCAGGGCTTGGGAGGAGGTACTGGAGTGAAGCTGTGTTAACAGCTTGTTATGTCATTAATAGGGGTCCTCATTCTGGAATTGATTCCAAAATTCCGTTTGAGATCTGGAGTGGTAAGTTGCCTAATTTTTCGAATTTGAAGATTTTTGGTTGTGTTGCTTATTATCATGTTATTGAGGGTAAGCTGGATCCACGAGCCAAGAAGGGGTGTTTTGTTGGGTACGGGGATGGTGTGAAGGGGTTTAGAATTTTTTCACCTTCGGAGGGTCGGGTCATTCTTAGTAGGGATGTTACTTTCGATGAAAACACCATGTATTCAATTAAAAATGCAGAGATTTCAGATTTGAGAAGGGAAGGAGACAATTTATTACAGACAGATGGGGTACTTGAGGTACATCAGTCTACCATTGCTGATTTACCTCGGGTACAATATATTGATGATGATGCTGATGTTCCAGTGCCGGGTACTCCTGAACCTGAGATTACTCCTACTCATTCTAACTCTGGGGATGAGGTGGAGCAATCTAATCAGGGGTCATCTAGTCAACCTGACACCATTCTTGAGATGCCTAAACGAGTTATCAAGAAGCCTGTTAGATTGATTGAAGAGATGGAGGGAAGAAATTACTGTGTTGATGCGATGACAGGTTATGCATTGAGTGTAGCTGATGATGTAGAGTCATTTGAACCTGCCACATATAAACAAGCAATTAGTTGTAGTGAGTCTGCGCAATGGCTTGCCGCAATGGGTGAAGAGATGCAGTCTCTTTACAAGAACAGAGTGTGGGAACTGGTAAAGGTACCGGAAGGGAGGAAGCTTGTGGGTTGTAAATGGATTTACAAGAAGAAAGAAGGGTTGTCGGAAACTGAGCAAATACGTTTTAAGGCTAGGCTAGTTGCTAAGGGGTTCAGTCAGGTAGAAGGGGTTGATTTTGTTGAGATATTCTCACCTGTGGTTCGACATACTTCTATCCGTGTGTTATTGTCAATTGTAGCACATTTTGATCTTGAGCTGGAGCAGTTGGATGTTAAAACGGCTTTCCTTCATGGCGATTTGGAGGAGGAGATTCTGATGAAGCAGCCCGAAGGATTCGAAGTTCCTGGAAAGGAACACTATGCCTGCAGATTGCTAAAGTCATTGTATGGACTTAAGCAATCCCCCCGACAGTGGTACAAAAGGTTTGATTCTTTTATGGTTTCACAAGGTTTTGACAGGAATTCATATGATTGCTGTGTGTATCATAGTAAGCTGGATAATGGTTCCATGATTTATCTTTTGTTATATGTTGATGACATGTTGGTTGCCACAAAGAATAAATCTGATATTGCTAGATTAAAGGAGATGCTTAACTCGGAGTTTGACATGAAAGACTTGGGTGCAGCTAGGAAGATTTTGGGTATGGAGATCTACAGGGATCGGGCTAGAGGTAAGCTTTTCTTGACTCAGAAAAGCTACATTGAAAAGATTCTGTCTCGTTTTGGGATGGAAAAATCGAAGCCTATAAGTACGCCAACTACTGTTAGTTGTAAGTTGTCTTTGTCTATGTCACCTCAATCAGAGGAGGAGTTGTCTTATATGTCTAGAGTTCCATATGCAAACGCGGTTGGTTGTTTGATGTATGCTATGGTCTGTACTAGGCCGGATATTGCGCATGCTGTTAGTGTTGTAAGCAGGTTTATGGCTCGACCTGGGAGGGAACACTGGCAAGGGGTGAAAAGGATTTTTCGCTACCTGAGAGGGACAGCTGATATTGGTCTTGTGTACGGGAATGGTAAGGAATGCTTGGTCACTGGGTACAGTGATTCTGATTATGCAGCTGATGTGGATACCAGGAGGTCTGTGACTGGTTATGTGTTCACTTTGGGTGGTTCTGTGGTTAGTTGGAAGTCTACATTGCAGTCATCAGTTACGTTGTCAACTACTGAAGCTGAGTATATGGCTCTAACTTCTGCAGCTAAGGAGTCTATTTGGCTCAAAGGCCTAGTAGGTGAACTGGGTATTGCACAGGATTTTGCTACAGTGTATTGTGATAGTCTAAGTGCGATTTGCTTAGCTAAAGATCAAGTACACCATGATCGGACGAAGCACATTGATGTCAGGTATCATTTCTTACGTACTGACAAGAGGATTAAGGTGAAGAAGATTGGGACTGCTGACAACCCGGCTGATTTCTTCACTAAGCCTGTTCCGTTTAGCAAGTTTAAACATTGCTTAGACTTGCTAAATATTGATTACTACGTGATGTAGTAGGCCCTGAGGGGCGAAGTTGGGGAGCTCCTGGTGTAGGTGTGTTGGCATTAAGGTGGAGCTTGCCCGGGGCTTGTGATGCAGGTGGAGCATTATGAGTTGTTATACTTGGAGACGAGTATGTGATGGGTCTTGGTTGAAGACTTATCGGGATGTATGGCTTATGCATGAGTCCTGCATCGGGTTTGGCTTGAGATGTTTTTTCACTATGTCTTGATGGGGTCGTTTGCTGACTACGAGTTCTCGTCAAGGTGGAGATTGTTGATAAGTATATTAGGTGACTCGTACTTCGTAGCTTTGTCCGCCCGATCGGGCGGACATTGCCCGGTCTGACCGGGCGGAAGAAGAAGAGGTGCCTGGCAAATTCGTTGAAGAAGCTGCTCTCGCGCCCGACCGGGCGAGCCTTCGCCCGACCGGGCGAGCCTTCGCTCGATCGGGCAGACCTTGCCCGGTCTGACCGGGCGGTGGGGGTTGGATACGTTGAAGCATTCGTATGGAGTTTTCTTCTCGCGCCCGATCGGGCAGACCTTGCCCGGTCTGACCGGGCGGAGAAGGAAAAATACGGAACGCGGATTTTGCGGTTTTAGGTTATCTTATTTTATTATCTTTTTGCCCAAGTATCTTTTAATTAGGGATTAATATAAAACCTCCCTAATATCAGTATTAGGGTTAAGAGAGATAGAGTGAGAGCCGTTCTTGAGAAATACAAGAATCATCTTTGTAATCTTTGCAGTTTATAGTGAAATCATTCGATCTCGGTGCCCGTGGACGTAGCTATCACATCGATAGTGAACCACGTAAATTCTTGGTGTTGTTCTTATTGTTTGCATTGAATTTCTTTATTGTTTTCTTGTTTGTTTTCGACCTTTGCTTCCGCTGTCGCACAACATTGTTGATAGGAAAAATTTCAAGGTTGGAAGCGTGCCGTCACAAGCTATGGATCATATTATTGCTGAGAGGAAACGTCGAGAAAAACTTAGCCAAAGATTCATTGCTTTGTCTGCTGTTATTCCTGGCCTTAAAAAGGTAAGCGCATGATTTTGTCATGAATTCCTGACTTAATACTGCAATCGCGAAACCTATCTTACACCTGTGATTGACCTTTCTACAGATGGATAAGGCTTCAGTACTCGGAGATGCAATCAAGTATGTGAAACAAATGCAAGAGAAAGTGAAGAAACTCGAGGAGGAAGCGAAAAAGAAATCAGTAGAATCAGCTGTTTTTGTGAAAAGATCTTATGTTTCTGCAGAAGAAAATACTACTGATGATCAATTATCAGCAAAATCAGCAGTTACTGATGCTGCAGGTTCCTGTTGTGAAGGTTCATTACCCGAAATCGAAGTTCGATTCTCAGATAAAGATGTTCTTATTACAGTTCACTGTGAACAAAAGAAAGGAATGTTTGAAAAACTCATTTCTCAGTTTGAGAAACTCAATCTAGCTGTTATCAGCAGCAGTTCATTAGCTTTCGGAGGCTCGGCTCTTGCTGTAACAATTACTGCTCAGGTAATTAATTCCTTCTTCCCTAACTAAATTATTAGCCTTTAATAATATTTTGCTATAACTTTTGATCAAAAATTTCTGATACATAAATATTCTGAGTATACATGTATCTGACATGAAATGTTTATCTTCCTGTAACTTTTGTGCAGATGGAATCTGATTACAGTTTGACAGCAAAAGATCTTGTCAGACATTTACACTCTACTCTCAATTGATGTTTCATATGAACAGTTTAGCTAGCTCTTTTCCAGAATCTGTCACTAGCCATGTACAAATTCGCGCACTTTACACGTCGTCATCAGATAGTCCACCAGACCATCATTTCTCTGATCCACCCTTAACATCAACCGTCTGTTTGCTCCGAGGTTCATTCAATTTGCAGGAGGGTTTTTTTCCAAGACAAATTTTTTGCATGGTTTTTTTGGTAAATCATGTTACAAGTTAATTACCCACTTGTTTTTAGAAATGATCTTGAGCTTTATTTTTTAGACATAATTTTATGTTTTTTTTAACCCATAGTTTATTTTGGGTGTTGTTATTGTTATGTAATTGTTGTTTTAGAGGTGATTAAGTAAATTTCCTAGCCTCTTTTCTTTTTTTTTTATTCAATAGTGTAAAATTTGGGAGACATAATATTATAATGTAAAATATATAATTAAATATATATATCGGAAATTTCACCATATACCACTGAGTTTAAGCATAATTCACCGTATACCACCAAAAACTTTCTAATACACCATATACCACTCAGTTATTGTATATTAACACAAAATGCCCTTTTTGCTAACTGCCGTTAGTCTGCCGTTTGGGGGACTTTACTAATTCACCATATACCATTAATATATAAGTAATTTCACCATATACCATGTAGTTTAAGGTTAATTCACAGTATACCACTTTTTTAAAACGGTAACTTTTTTTGAAAAAAAAATAGCCGTTGCACATTGATAACGGCTACTTTGTCTATATAAAAGCTGGGCGTGAGGGATTCGTGTTTCAGGTCACTCTTCTAAACACATTTGCAAAGATTTCCACACACTCGAAATCATCGTCGTCCGGATTTGTAAGAGTGCCTAACAAAGCGTGTTCTTGTGGTAGGAAGTTTGCAATACGGAGTTCTGAATCGGCAAAAAATCCGCAACGATTGTACTATAAGTGTGATGTGTGTGACACATTTAGATGGTGCAAGGGCAATGTCGAGCAAAATGTCCAATCGGGTTATGAAAATCAAAGTAGGGGAGGGATAGACACCCAATACTATGGAGATGAGAGGTTGTTGAAGCAAGAGTTGAAGGACCTCAAGCGAAGAGTAGTAAGGCAGCAAAAGATAGTTGATCTAGCAATAAAAATAGGAGTACTTATGTTTTTGTTAATTGTATTTGTAGCCTTGAAATGATTAATGTAAACAAAGTGCATTAGTTATATGTAGCCTTGAAATGATTATTGTAATCAAAGTGCATTATCATTCCAAAAATTATGGCCACATAATTGTGCATTAACACTTAAGGTCAAATAGTAATCCCTAAAAAACAACCAAGTACTTAACAGTTTGTTGAGCAAAAAACCAGAAACTTAACAAAATTTTTTAAAAATTATCCTCAAACAAAGTTGACACATCATGCATGGCAGCTTCAAGGTTACTGACTGTCAGCCTTTCTCTTCCTCTCCCTTCCTTTGGCTTGCTGTGAAGAGGTTGCTGCATCTTGTGCCTTTTTTGCTGCTTCCTTCCTTGCCTTACAGGTTAAGGCATTGTGTCCTAATTCCTTGCAAACACTGCATTTGTTGTTCTTGTGCCTCTTTCCTTTCCTTGCTTCATGAGGGGCTCTTCTTCTCTGCTTAGCTGGTCTGCCTGCAGTTCTTTTGACAGTTGGTGGTAAAATTTCAGGTACATCAAATGCAGGCCAATGAGTAGGATCAGCCATAGGGTGGATATGGTCTCCATAAGTCATCTTATACGCAGCCCCCTTGTAGTATGGTGACACAAAATCTGTTGGCTGTAGTCTCTGGCTGTAGATGACCCTAAGACCATGCCTGCATGGTATCCCTGATCCCTGCCATTTCCCACACCCACATGTCATAGTCTGGAGTGTGACAGGGAACTTGACATGGCCATCCCTGACTTCAAACTCTCTCCCACCAGCTGCTGTTACATGGCACAACCTTGACTCTTCACTTCTTGTCTCCAAAACCTCTTTAGCATGTTCTGTCAGCTCATTAGGGTCCATGTCAATTGCTTTGTCAAACCTGGAACCTATTCTTTTTATGCACCAATTCCTGACAGCTGGTTTAGTTTTTGAAAAAAAAAACAAAAAAAAAAAAAATACAGCACAAACAAATTCACAGATATCAGAACAAGAAATAAAGTACCAACTGAACTCATGAAATAAAGTGTCAGTTAATACCTTCCAGTAAAGTGAACACAGGCATGTCTCTGTTGTCCTTTGTAACTGAGTTGAATGACTCAACAAAGTTTGTTGTGTTATGATCACAACAAACAACTCTGTCAAACTTGTGCCTAGTCCACTGCTCTTCAATATTTGTCAGGTACTCAAATGCTGCTGCATCATACTTCTTTATCTTTGATATTGCTTTGTCATACACATACTCATTATAGGCATTGGCTGCAATCCAAAATAGCTTATGGAACTCTGTCCCACTCCATCCAGCAGTCTTGCAATTTGAGTACAGATGCTAACAGCAGACTCTCCTTGTTGCCCTTGGGAACACTTCAAAAAGGGCTGGTTCAACACCCTTCAGGGAAGATTAAACACTTGGTTAGTGGTCATTCACATAAGAGAAGCAAAGTTGAATTACAAAAAAAATCAAGACACTAACCCTCATCCTGTCACTTATAAAAGTCCAATCTTCCTTCTGGCAACCATTCTGGGCAAATAAGTGTCTTAGGTTTCTGAAGAAATAAGACCAGCTGTCTATGCTCTCTGTATCCACCAATCCATAAGCTATTACAAAAATTTCATTGTTACCATCAATGCCTACTGCAGTGAGCATAATTCCTTTGTAATACCCACTTAGATGTGCACCATCTATCCCTATAATGGGTCTGCAACCACTCAAGAACCCTTTCACCTAAGCTGCAAAAGAGAAGAAACATGCCTTGAATTTGGTACCATTAACCCCATTGTCAGTCCAAGTGATCAGAGCATATGAGCCAGGATTTGTGGCTTTAATCATCTCTGCATATTTTGGTAAAATTGCATAAGACTCTGCAAAACCACCATGAATTTGCTCCCTGGCTAAACACTTCACTTTATAAAACAATCTGAGCTTCACTTGGATCCTAAACCTTTCCAGGCACATTCTTTGTAATGATTCAACTGGAGTCTCTGGGTTTGCCTCTAAGTCTTGCCTCAACTGTCTACAGAGCCATGCTGAAGAGATCATGGGGTTCTCTTCCAGCCTCCCACAAGTACTATGTTCACCTTCTAGCTTCTTAATAGCCTAGCTCACCTTATCAACAAGAACTGCTGCATGAATCCTCCAATTGCAGTCACTGATCAGACACCTAGCTGTATATCTGTAATTATCAGCATAGTCAACTGACACTGCAAAGCCTTCTTGTATGCAAAAATCTCTGAATACCTCATGAAATTGTGTTTTGTTTTCAAAGATTAACCAAGGTTCTAGCTGAATTGACCCAAATGGTAAGTTAGCCCAAACCTTGCCACTTTTGTACATCTTGTCCAGAGCATGAGATCCATCTAGGTAATCTTCAAATGTCTTCTCTGGTATGTTATCAGCTAGGTCATCCTCTTCCATAATGTAGTCATCATCAAGGTTCAAGTCCATCTCCATATCACCCTCATCTTCAGAAAATTCATAGTCATCATCATCACTATCATCAAATGGCCATGGATCAGACTCACTGTCAGTTTCTTGAACATGCATAGGTTTTTTGCTCCTAGTATTGATTTCCCTCCCTCCTCTTTTGTTTTTCCCAACCTCAACACCATACTTCTTTGCTGTGCTTCTAGGCACCCTCCATTCAGCTGGTTTAACCCTTGTTTGTTCTTTGGGCTTTGCTGCAGAACTAAAAGCACCCCTAGTTTGGGTTGGTTGCCTTGATGCAGCTGTATTTGGTTGAGGTGGTGGTGGGGGTGGGGGTGGTGTAGGTTGCCTGGGTGGGGGTGGTGGTGTAGGTTTCCTGGGTGGGGGTGGTGGTGTAGGTTGCCTGGGTGGGGGGGAAGCATGGTGTGTTGGTGTTGTTGGTGGAGAAGGGTGCTCTTGAGAAACATTGGTGGAGATGGAGGCTGAGTTGGTTGAGTAGATTGTGAAGGTTGGGTTTTTTTCTTCCTTGGAGTTACTTTTTTCCTTCTAGGATTTTTTTTGGGTGGTGATGGTGTCTTACTTTTTTCATTTGAGGGTTGACATGGTTCATTTTGTGAAGGTTGAGGCTGAGAATCTCCTGGAAATGACTCATTAGCTGTTGTAGTGTGGAATACCCTCACATATTCAAGCACATCATCTTCTGCATTCACAACAGGGACCTCTACAACAACAGTATATGGTACTTGAGCATTAAGCTCCTCCTCAACTTCTTTAGCCTCTGCAATTTTCCTTCTCTCTTCCTCCTTCTGCCTAATTTGGTCAGCCCTATTCTTCACAGTTCTAGCCCAACTAGCTTCTGCAGACTGAAAGACAACAGATGGGTTTTGTGTCTCTTCTATGAACACTTCAATTTCATCCTTCCCTTCATTCCACTCCCACATTTTCAACATTTCCCCATCATCCACTAACTCCAGCTTACGATTAGTTCTAGGTTTACTCACAAACAAAGAGAAGTACTTAGTGAGGAAAACATTCTGCTTCACTGAATCCTCAAACATATACTCAAATAACTCCATCAAATTTGTCTTATCAGTATCATCTACCCTAACATCAAAAGTACCACCTGGCGAACGAACTAACAGCCAAAGTGCACTCATCCTATTCATGAATAATACACAACAAAAATTAACAACACACACCAACACATCATACAAAACACATCATTCTTAACAACAAACTTACTTATAAATCGCATGCAACACATCATTCGCACATAATAACATAACAACCACACTCACATAATCAATGTCGAACAAACCCTAACCCTAACTCAATTTCGCAATAAACAGAAAAATCAGGCCTCGAAAAACAAATTGAAAAGGATAATTTTACCTTTAGAAAGCTTGATCGAGCCCAGGTGCGAATTACGACCGAAATTCAGTCAAGAACAACTTCCTCTCTCTCAAACTTCACCAAGTTCGTTCTTTTTCCAATCACAAGCCCCAAATTGAAAACATACTGGCAACGTCGACCTTGGATCGATGAAAGTTTGAAGCTTTTTGATTGATTTTGGGGTTCGATTTTAATGGAGAAGAACAGAGAGAAGCTTCAATGGAAAGGGGAAATGGGGGGTCAATTTTTTCAAACTAGAAAAATTATGTTTGGGGGAGTCAACCCTATCAATGGCGCCAGTTAGATGTATAAGGGCATAATGGTAAAGTCCCCCAAACGGCAGACTAACGACAGTTAGCAAAAAGGGAATTTTGTGTTAATATACAATAACTGAGTGGTATATGGTGTATTAGAAAGTTTTTGGTGGTATACGGTGAATTATGCTTAAACTCAGTGGTATATGGTGAAATTTCCGTATATATATAGACACGTTTGGAATTGTTATTAATACTAATCAATCTTACTCAAAGTGATAAAATTAATAATTAACTAACATTAGTAGTTATCAATGTGTAGCATTATTATCGTAAGTTGCGGCCTTCATGTCCACATTATATATATTGTTATTATAAGTATATACATCAGTGTTTATATA